CACACACACACACACACACACACACACACACACACACACACACACACACACACACACATACACTCTTGGGTGTTATCTTAAATTTTAAAAAAATTATGCTAAAACTATATCAAGGAGTATTACGTAGTAATCTACTTCGGTATAGAATCGTATAAGAAGGACTAACGTTTGTTTGCCACTAATGCGAAATGTCGATAAAACATTTATTAGCAATTATTATTTATTCACACTTAATATCTATTTATTATATTAGGAAACACTTGGATAACTGTTATAGCGTGTTTTCTTCAGGTAGAGAGTATATCTCCTCTCGGAAAATGGTTATTGGCGCCGGAAGGGAGTTCACCCCCTCAGTCGAACGCCACCAATAAAACTTATTTGATCCTGATTTGGAAGCATGGGCAATTTCTGGAACGCAGACACATTAGACATTTTACATCCATCAAGTTAGACAATTTTTAATTCTCTGTCTTTTTTAACAAAAATAACTCTAAACAACGATATTCAAAGTAATACAAGCCGAGGGTGGAATTTGTTGTTTCGAACAATAATTTTTGAGATAGTTATAAAGATTTGAAACTAATCGATTAAAAATTGTATAATTAATTTTTATCCTATTAGTAGGTTTATCTTAGTAATTTATCAGATTTGTTATTCATACAACAACACATTTAACTTGAAATTCATTTTACGAAAATATTGAATTAGAACGAAAATTTGTAGCTCAAAATTTAAACAATTATAGTAACTAAGTTAAAAATGAACGAAATTTAAATTTTAAGAAAAGGTGTTTCTCTATTTCTCTCTAAAGGGTTTTCTCTATTTTCCAAAGTTTATTACGTTTTTTGAGTTTCTGTTTAGTAATTTTTACATACAGGAAACAATGAACTAGATTAGAAAATGGGAAATTTTCTTTTCATTTTGTGGGTCTGTCACGTCCCAAAAAACTAGCAAATAGTTTCAACTAGTTAGTTTACAACTTTCTAATGTGAAACCTTAAAGTTTACTTTACAAAATCATTTTTTTTTAATGTTCCTAAGATTTTTTGTCATTGAGTAATCGCGATGAGTCTTATCGCGAATTAAAAAAAAGAAATATGTTAACTTTGATTACTCCTTTGATAACTTCGTTAAAAATCATTGTACCGCAATTCGAAACAGATTCTTAAAGCTGAAACTTTTTGTTCCAAGTCAACAAAAATTCGTTCTAGATTGATAAGAAATTATATCAGCCTTCGACTAAAAAGATAGTAATCAGTAAAATGCGATCACGCGACTTATATCTCTTTCTATTAATAGAGATTAACATTAATTTCAGTTCAACTTGCTTTTCAGGTTTTTCTCATTCTTAAAACCAGAAAAAATGAAGTTGAATCAAGATTTACATTAAACTACATTGGTAGAAACGGGCAAAGTGACTTCAATCAAACTCCAATTCGTTTAATCAGCACTATTAAGTAATAGATACGAATAAAACTATTAAATTAATAGAATTATGTTTAATATATCGAAAAAAGAATAAGAACAACGAACTGTATACTAGAAATTTTGTCTCAAGAAATTCTGCCAATCGGGATAAATTAATCGGAGTTTGGTTGAAGTCGCCTTTATTTTCACAGTAATCATTAACAGAGATTTACAAAATCATATATTTTAGGTTTTCACCATGGGATCAATGTTCAGCGCAGAATTGCATGTTAAGTTACAATGAAAAGGATCTGCATCGAGCAGACGCCGTACTATTTCATTTACACTTCACGAGGAATCCATCTGAATTACCGGCGAGAAGCCAGACGAATCAACGATGGATCTTCTTGACAGATGAATCACCCTTCCACACGTTTTTATACAGTCCTCAAAGACTGTCGAACTACAATGGTCTGTTCAACTGGTCCATGTCATACCGAATGGACAGCGATGTGCCGGTTCCCTATGGAAGAACAATACAAATCTCCGAAAACTTTCCGGCCAAACATTGGAACACTATTGTGAGAACTTCCAAGACCAAACTGGTCGCCATAATGGGCAGCAATTGCAGTGGTCGTAACGGACGATGGTCCTACGTGAAGGCACTCAAGTCATCGCTTCACGGTGATCTGGACATCATCGGAAAATGCCTAGATGGCAACAAAACCATTTGTCCTGGTCATTTCGACAAGGACTGCGCCGCTTTGGAGTCATATAAATTCTATCTGTCGTTTGAGAACTCCAACTGCCGAGAGTATTTGACGGAGAAGGTGTTTTGGAACGCGTACCGCAAATTCGCGGTTCCGATAATAATGGGAGCGTCACGGCAGGACTGTCTGCGATTGTTGCCACCGCACTCCTTCCTCCACGTGGACGATTTCGCGGACGCGAACGCGCTCGCTGACTACATCAGGTATCTGGACCGCGACGATGAGCGTTACTTTAAATACCATGTGTGGCGCAATTATTATCGGGTGATCAACGAGCACGGCTACTTCGGCAGCGTCTCCAGGCACTATTGTCGCATATGTGAGGCATTGCATTACAATCCCGCCGTGCCGAAGGTCTACACAAATCTCGAACACTTTTGGAGCAAGGAGAGGGACTGCGTTCCAGCAAGCGCTTAGGATACGAGCACAAAGGAAACAGATTTTTTTGCTTTCCGACAACTAACGTCAAGTTTTCTGCTTTAACACGTGTTTATTGTGTCTTCCTCCACGCTTATCAGCGCTGGTTGTCGGAAGGTGGAAAAATCTGCTTCCTTTGTACTTATTGCTGCTTGTATATCCTTAGACTATTCTTTACGATCATCTAGTCTTTCAAGTGTGTAATCGTGAAGTGTAGATGAATTAATATATACGAATCAATGACTTGGAAACTTTAGCAATGGATGACATCAGTGGTTCAATGTCGAACTATCGAAATTTTTGAATGCATTTTAAATTTATAGAAATTATGAAGAAAAAGATAAAATTATTGTTGTAAGTCGATATGATTATTATTAATTTGATATTCTTAATTACGATAAAAATGTTCCTGCATTTCTTTAAATAAGAATTGAAGAATTATTTATAAAACTCTTGAAATAGGAGCTACATATATTATTTTAATGTAATTTATTTAATATAAGCAACAATGTTTAATAAACACTTTTGTGTATATTATAGATATAAAATAAAACTAATAATTGTACATTAAAAAATGTATGATAAATATTATAATTTTAGTTAATAATACTGATACATTATTGTTATATAAAATTAACGGAATTAAAATATCTGCATGTTAAAAATAGACCTGTTCTTTTTAGCTAAATATCATACATGGTTCATGTTTTTCTCTTTTTTTTTTCAACATAGAGAGAAAAAGGGCACAGAACCATGCAAGGAGTTCAAATGGAAAGGACAGATCTAATTATATTCGTATATAACAGATTCATATTTGCCGCTTGAAATGGGAGACCTGTGCGTATGAGAAGATTTGATCGCTGTGACGCATTTTATTAAAGTCTGTGGAAAATCTTTCGGATCGATACGAAATGTATCCAGAAGAATCCCCCTCTCATTTACGCGTTCATTAAAATTCGGAACGTTCATTAATGATTCCTTGATCCTTGAGAGAGTCTTTCCGTAAGTTTTACGAGATTTTGGGAATCGCATTTACAAGGAGGTGATGCCGAGCCGTGATTAAAAAAAATAAGGATTAGGAAAAAGCGAGAACAAGACTTGCGAAAGCGCGCGATGCAACGCTAGCGAACGCTAGACGGTGGCGCGTTGACATCGTCACCAGCGGAGGGAGGGACGGTGCACGCGGAGCGGAAGTAGAGAAGCGATAGACGGCGACTCCGTACGTTGCAAATGGCAGACGTGGTGCGTGATATACTTAGGTAGAAAACCGTCACTTTGTTTGCGTCGCGTTCCTTCGTGACCGTCTTGTTGCTCAGCGAGGAAGTGGACAGAGCCGTCCCGTAGCCGCTCGTCACGTCGCGTGCACATAGGTCGCGTCAATCAGATCCCTAATTCGCAGGAAGGTAGCGGGCCGGCGAGCGAGCGGGCGAACGCCTTGGGAGATCCGACGAGAAATTGCGAGAAATTGCGAGAAATTGCGAGAAAATCCGTGGTACACCTCGGAATCAAACGACCTCGAACGGAAAGGCGGACAATGGCGAGGCTGATCAATGTTTGGCGAGACGACGAGCCGGTGAAGCTGGCCAGCAAGCAAATGCCGCTGATCGTCGACGAGAACCTGACGGTGAGCGCGCGCGCACGCCCGCGCCCGCGACGCCAATTTCTCTGACCGTCAACCGGCGCGACTCCTGGAGCACGGCAGCGATATCGCTTTACGGATTATCGTTCACGATCTGTACAGGAGGCCTTTAACTGAAAACACATTACAGCCAGGTGTCAGAAAGGTGGGGGAGAAAAAAAAGAAACAAGAATGTTAGGTCGCGATTCTGAAGAATCTGCAATTCTTTTGTCACGATTAATCTGCGATCGTACGTTGTCAGAACGTCGAGCGAGCCATATACGTCGTTGCCGACTGCGAACTTGTCAGAACGAGTATAACTCGACGATTATTATCTTTCTCACACCTGCGTTGTATTCCTGTAGGCGATCTCTCTGTACTTAATTCAATCATCAATCCTTTGCATAAGATAGATAACGTTATTGCAGATTATTTTCTTTATGTCGCGTTGGAGAGAATATTAGCCAAGCCAGAACGTGTCGAGCAAGAACTTTACTTTGCCGTTTCTAATTGTCATCGATTCGAATGTGATTTGTTAGTCGATCTGCAATTTCCTCTGAGATTAATTTGTCTGTGTTTTTTTAGATGATTATGGATATAACTGGTTTGGGAGCTATCTGTGATAATCCCTTGATCAACGGTAAACAACTGGATGAGTTTACAAAGAAATTTGCATTACTCACAATGGAAGAAATCAAAACATCTTTTGCAGTTACTTGCAAGAAGATAGTTGAAATCTTGAGCGCTGCAGAACCATGTGTCGGCTGCCGAAGAAGGTAATTATCTCTTTTATTAAAAGAGATTTAATTGAAAATAACTTTTTATTAGAATGATGCATATTGTAGCTATTGTATTCATGATGTAAGAAGACAAGGTGTACCATTTCCGAAGATGCATAATAACAGAGTGAATTTTAGGCCAAAATTTGATTGACTATTCCAATGTGCTATAACTATTATATGCAAGAAAAGTGCGTAGAGGCTAAAATTTGATTGATTGTTTCCAGTACTGCTATTACTATTATTCGCAGTGATACACCTTGTACTTTTACATCATAATTATATATCATTATTAATACATCACTATTAATACTCGTTCCCACTAAGACAGATTAATTTTAATTTTAACTTACTCTATCTTTTTTTAGTTCTAAGAATTAGAAAAAGGTGAAGAATAAATTGAACCAAGATTACATCCTTAGTGCATACAATAATTTTCCAATTCTTCTTCTTTACACACATAATGGATAATTCATGTCCTAGGTTAATTTTCGTTACTTTAACAAATGTACAAATAATCCTTAACTGTTGTCGTGAGTCCATTTTTCAACATCTATCAAAGTATATTAACATACTTTAAATAATAATCAATGTAATACTAATTTTTAGTTTTTAATCTTTATTGTTAGTTTTGATTATAAAGATATAGATAAATGAGAGTTTAAAGATCAAAAAGATATAATAAAAATGTTTTCAAGATTAATGGTTTCTTCATGACATCAGCGATTCTTAAATATACTTTAACATCTTTACAAAATATTTATAAGGTTGTGTATTTTAAAAAATTGTATATATAAATATTGTATAACTAATTACTTGATGTGCTTAGTTTTCCAAAGAAATATGTGAGACACGAATGACTCAATTATATATAAAGGTTAAAGTTCTGATTGGTGCAAAATGAGTATAAATAATAGTGAAATATTCTGTGTTCAGTGTTGAAAGATTATTCACCGATCTGATGAAGTCAGGACATCCTGCATTAGATCCTCTAGTTATCACTCCCGATGGTGTGCTTTCTATAAAAGACGACATTTTAAAATCGCCTCAGCAGCTCTGTACATTGTTACATGGACACAGGTATGCAAATGATCGCAAGAATCTCAGTTCAGACACATTTGTGGAAGAGTTATTTACATTTACTATTTACGTCTCTGCAGCACTAGGTTAAATAATTTAATGGAAAAACAACAAAGAAATAGAAAGTCTCAACGATGTGTACTGCATACTCTGGAAATTCAACGGTTGCCACCTATATGGAATTCTTGGAGAGAAGTATGGGATTGCATGGAGCTACCATGTCGGCAGGAATTGACTTTAATAGAGACCGATACGCTTGATGAAGCTTTAGATACTTATTTGCGTAAACATAGGTATGTAATTTCACATAGATTATCCATAATGGTTTTATAACTAAATGATTTTGGTGATCAGATTTTGCGCCGAGTGTCGCAACAAGGTGCTATTGGCGTCGTCTCTCCTGACCCGAGAACCCGAACCTATAAAAGAAAAAGGTTACGTAGCAGTTTTATATTCTGGAATTAAGCGTTGCTACCGCGACCATCACGTTCATTTGCCACCCATCACAGAATATATGACCACTCTCCTTGGTCGCGCACAACCATGGGCACTTATGGGAAGGTACAGATTTTCAAAAATACATTCTCTGGTAATGTTTAGTGGAAGGAGGAGTAATAAGAGATGTTTCCGAATTTCAGAGAGCGCCACGCGAAAACGCTGGAAATTGCTCAAGAAGAAGTACTTACGTGCTTAGGTATATGTATCGCAGACCGACTACACAAAATACATCGACGAATGAAGGAGGAAGAAACTGTGTGCAAAGTATTAGCTGCTGTTGCAGTGGATGCATTGTCCAGAAACTTTCAGGTAACAAGATCTTGTATAATAATATCCTCTACATGATATTAGAAAATTCTATATTTATAACAGATTATTCTATAATATTTTGATTTATTTAGTCGGCGATTGAAAAGAAACAAGGTATCTCTCAATTGGAATTATTCTACAAGCAAGTTGCAAAGGAAGAACTAGCGAAACAACACAAACGTGAAAAATTACGTCTTAAACGTAAGAAGAAGAAGGGACGTCGCAACGAAATAGAGGAAAAGGAGAACTCCCGTGATGTATGTTTAAACTTGTGTGCAAGACTTGATTTTTTAAAAATTTATTCTTAATTTCTCACAGGTCATACTTATTTAAGTATGACACTAAATTTATGTATTTACCGGCGAGTGTGGCTAAGTTGTATACTTTATCGTAGTGTTCAAACGAAAGATCACAAAGTGACTCCCCCTGTACCTGTGTAGAATCAAAGCCGACGACGCAGAACATCAATCGGCATAAAGTAAATAACGAGACTTACTGAATTTTACATACATATGTGCGCCTCTGTATACTATCGCTTCCTTTTGCATTAGTTGCAGGTCCTAGATCCAAAAAACAAAGGTCCGCCGACGTGTAAATGTCCAGATTGTTTAAAGAAGCCAAAAACACATAGTATATCACAATCGCAAAGTAAGACAGAATTAGCATTCCCTGTGAAAAAGGGTTCACAGAAAGTTAAAAAGATCACTTCTGAAACAAAGAAAAATCTTAATACAAGTCAATCGAAGCAAAATAGTACACCTTGTAAACAATTATCTCAGGAGGATTCATCCGATGTTTGCGAGTCGTGTAAGGTAACTACAAGTGTCAATTTCGTATTGCTGTCATAGATGTATTAAATTTTCTAAAATAAAACGTTTTTGTTTTTTCATTTTTTTCTCACGTTAAGGAGGGTGAGAAAATTGATGAGAATCAGTGGCGTTATGACGACAATTGTAAAGATTCCATGACTAACGAGCTGGTAGATGCGTGGATAACGGAGCCAAGTGAAAATAAATATACTACGTGGATGGTAATGAAGAAACGTTTCGAAATGTCCGAAAGAAAAAACCACACCTCAAGCGAACAATCGTCTCAAGATTGCGGATACTCTTCCGAACATAATATTAGTAGTTCTTCTCTTCCTAGCACACCGGAAGGTTCTGAAGTAGCTTGTAATGATGAATGGTGTGATCACGAAGGGACTTGTCACGATAAATTTAATCATTCCAATTCTAGCATCTCTTTATTGCAAAAGAAAGGTCCAACACTTACACAAATGTTGAAGGTAAATTTAAGATATGATAATCTAAATATTTAAGGATTCGTTTTCTCTATAAAGAAGCTTAATTTCGGTGGCAACTGTTTAGGATTCCTGTTTTTCTGACGACGACGAAAAGGAGAGTTATATTCCAGTGGAGGAAGTATTAGAATTTAAGTCGAGAGTACGTCAACTCACGGAGAAGCGGCGACAACTCCGGCAAATACTTAGAGAACGTTTTGCTATGTTGTGCAGCCATCAGAAACCACTTAGCATTCTTCATTAAGAATTCCTACTACCTATGGTAATATATCTCCATCTTTTTCTTCTTTTTTTTTTTACTTTGATTTACTGTCAGTAGTGAGACACGAATGTAATAGATGTATTTTGGAGAAACTGTTATCATTCGAAGTCGACCTGATGTGAATAAAATGCTGAATATATGTAATTAAGAAGCCAAAAACATTATACAATACTATTTATCTCTACGTGCAAAAAATTGCATCTGAAAAATAAAAAATACTGGGAGATTGAATAGTTTCATATCTGATGTTAAACAATAACGTCGATTTTGCGAAAAGTACAGAAACACACACATAAATTGAGATACCATAAAATTAGTATACGGATCAACTTGAATTGATGTATATTGATGTATATCTCGAAATTGATTGTATAGTTCTTTGCAATTTAAGCAAATAAGTAGATATTTTGAACGAACATGCCTTGGCCGTGAAAATATGGCAGATCTGATTCCGCAGTAAATGCAAGTTGTTAAAGACAAGTTTTTCAGTGATTTGAAAAGTATTGTATTTTCTTGAAAATCTTTATTTTCAAGACTGTTTACGCGGCGCTATGACTATGGTGAATTCGTGTCAATGTTGTAACAAAAAGAGATGCGATATAATTTTGTCGGAATCCTAATATTAAAATCAATGTTGCATTCCATTATAATATATATACATATATTTTATTATTCCGATGTATATCCTCTCTGTGTAACTTCTATTACACGCACTGTAAAAATATTCTATATAAAAAGAATTATTATGTCGTAAAATCGTACACATATATATTGTATGTTGCATCAAAGTTATTAAAAATATTTAAGCCGCTATCTACTGGTAATTAGTTGTATAAAATTCAATTCGTCACCGAATTTGCTTCTCTTAGATTTTTTATATATATTTACATATCAGTACATATTTACAGGAGCAATGCCTCCTTTTTTATCAATTGAACAGAAATATCAAGAGTCTATAGATCATCTTTTTAAGATTTTATATGTTTATTCTTGAATATTTCAAGAAACTAGTAATTATACTTGTAACTTCAAATTAGATTTGACCCGATAATTGACATCTTTTTTTTTTACTCTTAGACGTTCACATCCTTATGGAGACACATGCTGTATCTTTTCCAAGCTAATGAAGATTGCAAAATAATGTAACTTTTTTCATTTTTAAAATAATAATTTTTGTTCTTCACTATCTTTAGAAATCTTCATCTTTCAAAGTTTATTATTAAAATCCTTTTGTAAGTATTTCAAAGAGTGATTATGATATTCTTTCACTAAAGAGATAGAATACACATTCCCTCTTGAACTTAGTTGACATACTGTGTGAAGCATAAGCATGCGTTCGTTCCACCGAAGCCAAACGCGTTTTTCAGGGCCGTTCGACGCGTCGTCGTGTTCCATTTCATTTTCGTATGCGATGCGAATCTCAAATCTGTCTTCATATTTAAGCTGTGCAGATTCAACGTAGGCGGTATGATGCCCTCCTTAATCGCCAAGATTGTGAAGGCGGCTTCCAAGTTGCCGGCAGCACCTAGCAAATGACCATGTGCCCCTTTCGTGCTCGTTATCGTTACGTTTTTGCTGTGTTCACCCATCAGTGACTCGATCGCCTTCACCTCGATCGCATCACCCAGCGGCGTGGATGTGGCGTGCGCGTTTACGTGCGTCACTTCCGAGGTCTCGATGCCGGCGTCCTTCAATGTCCGATCCATTGCCAGCAGCGCACCGGTGCCATCCTCGCTAGGTGCTGTTATGTGTGATGCGTCGCCAGACAGACCGTAGCCTAGCACCTCCGCGTAGATAGACGCGTTCCGAGCAAGCGCGTGATTTAGCTCCTCTAGAACTAGTATCGCGGCGCCTTCACCCATAACGAAACCATCGCGGTTACGATCGAAGGGCCGTGATGCCTCCTGTGGTATATCGTTCTTCGACGTGCTCAATGCGCGTAACCGGCAAAACGCAGCTATAGCTAGTGGACTGATACATGCCTCGGCACCGCCACATACCATCACACTCGTCTCACCACCACGGATAAAGCGAAATGCATCACCTGGAAGATGATTCATTACGATGGTTTCTCAGATATGAAAAGAGCGTTAATTAGGATAGCGATCATATATTTTTTTCCCTAAAGCGGAAACATAAAAATTATCATTGAAGATAATGGAGAAATTTTTTACTTCTCATGTTTTGACCATAAGAAAAAATTATGTAACAATTAAAAATTAAGGTATGTTTAAGAAAGCTGGCTCCGAGAATAAATCAAATAATAAAACGATATTTTAAAAATCCAAAAGAACCAATGCAGATATTAGTGCAATACGGATTTATTACAATGACATTTACATATTCAACAAATATAATTCGTAAACTTTACGATCAATATTGTTAGTCTTCCTTAGTGCTGTTAGTATAATAAATATAATGTTAACAAAATATTGCGAATTACATTTGTTGATTATGTAAGTGTTATTATAATAAATCCGTATTGCGCACTAATATCCGCGTTAGCTCTTTCTGGCTTCTTAAATTGTCTTATTTAAAAAAATTACATAATCGCTACACTCAGAGTCTGTTGTTTTCGCTCTTTATTTACCAATAGCATGCGCACCCGTCGCACATGCAGTCGATACTGAATGATTGGGTCCACGGAAACCGTACTTTATACTGATCTGACCAGCAGCCATGTTCGGCAATATTCTTGGCACAAAGAATGGACTGATTTTGCTGTATCCCTTTTTCAGAGCTTCGTACGTCATGCACACATCCACTAGGTCTATCATGCCAATTCCTACCGAGACTCCAGTGTCACGTTTATCGGTTTCATCGGTTGGTTTCCAGTTTGCATCCGTTAGTGCCTCCTCTGTAGCTATCAACGCATATGCGGTGGCAGAGCACATTGTGCGTAGCTCACTCTTTGTAAAGTAGGAATCAATGTTGAGCTCATGAGAAGAGTTTCCTTTCGGCACCAATGCAGCTAATAAATGCCAATTGTTATATAATTATTGCGTGCAATATAATTTTGAGCAACAGTTATAATATTAGGTACTAGAATAATCAGGTACTCAATAAATCTTGTTTACATATAGAATAATTGTATGTAAACAAACTTCAACATAAATTGGCAATAGTACTGTCAAAATTTGCTCACCTACTTTGCACGGTAGCTTGTCGTAATCTGGTTCGGAAAGTCGCGTAATTCCGCATTTAGAGTCGATAAGAGCCTCCCAAGCGTTTCGTGTCCCGACTCCCAAGGGGCACACAGTTCCTATCCCGGTGACGACGACACGCCGTTTGGACCTTGCGGCGGTCGTCAATGACCGCCTAACGTGTAAAAGTGGAATGGACATCGTAATTTTCGAGACTTCCTGCAGACGCTCTTCAATAATTAGCGCAATATATATGTCGTTAATGATTGATTCGTCATGATCGGCAAAAAAATGTAAAATGCGTTTATAAGGCACACCATAAAACCAACTACATCGAGGTTATGTTATTGTTGCAAGTTATGCCCAGCTCTATCGACTGTGCCAGGTGTGCCTGTAATGCCATAAATAAACCGATATATAGGCGCCCTACTTTATCAATGTTTACCAACAATATTTTGAAAAATGTTTCATTGTTAAATCTTTTAATCGTTCCTGTATTTTGAATGTAATATTACTATTAAATTTTTTAAATGTCATGTCTTAAATGTTAGACATGTAAAATATTATTAATTACGACATTAATATCATTTAAATGTAAAAATCTTTTTCCAATCTCACAAAGTCGTATTGACGTACATCTGAAGACATTACGTAAGACAATTTTTAAACTATAAATATTAATCTTATTTTTATATTTATAATTTAAGAGATAAATAAAAAGTAAAAAATGATTTTTAAAATTGCTGACGCGCTTTCTCTTCCAAGTATATGCTGTTTTGATCTTAGCGTAAACATAAAATAATTTATGCAAAATGACACACTAGGCACTGAAAATGTGTGATTTTATTATTGAAAGTATAATAAAATGCAGAGAATACGATTAAAAACTTTATTTTGGTTTGTTTTATAATTGGGAAAAATATATATATTTATACATATACATATATATATATATATGTTGTATGTACCTGTAGGAACTTTGGGCTACAGATGTCAGGGACAGTCATCGTATAGAGTAACATATTAATTTAAAAAAATGCAAAACATGCGAATATGTTACCAATGGAATAAAAAAACATCTTACTGCTATACTAAATCTAACGGTTTTTTTTTTGTTAAATTTACATGTACATATGCATTGGTAACCAATATAAAATATTACATGTGTGATACATTCGTCTCAATATACGCAGGCCTAAATTGTGTTCACGCAGTCTGCATTTTTCTGCGTAAAACTCATGTAAATCACGAAGGTTAAGAAAATAACTGGACAGAGCTTATAGTAAATTTTTGAAAAAAAAAACGGGTTTTAAAGGAATTGAAGTTATACAAAGAAAGAAAGAGAGAACGAGAGGAAAAAGAAAATATAAAGATATTATTAAAAAAGAGAATATTTCATTTTTATGCTTTACCGAATAAAATCAAATTAATAATGCATATATTTTTTAATATAACAATATATCCCAACAAACTCTAAATTATAGTACTTGTTAGTTGTAATTTCCCACTAAAAAATATAACTGTAATATAT